ATGGCAAACAACGCCTAACGACCTTCTTATCTTTGTCCTGAATACAATAACCAGACATGGCACAGGATGTTCATAAAAATGGACACTTTGAGGTACAACCACATTAAGATCACTGGGACTGAACTCCTCCTGTGTTTCCATAGATACAGGTAAACCACTGGATTTTTTTTATTTATGATTTGGTGATGATTGCCCAGTTGGAACAACAAAGGGAGGAAATAAAAGACCTGCATAATACAATGCAGCCAAGTTCAGTTTATTAAGTCATGTTTAGGTGCTAAAAAGTTAGGAGGTGCATATTATTCATTCCTTATGAACTTGCAGCTCACCTGGGACTTTCCACCAGTTTGTAGATTTTTTCTTGGCGTTTTGAAGGGACTGCCAGCAACATCCTGTTAAAAGACAAATGTAAGACGAAGACAAACTGCAGAATCCTTTTCAATGTACCACTCCCAAAGTAAAGGTCATAAATACTAAGCACTGAAAAATAAAAAAAACAGCTTTGTTAAACCAGTGTCTTACTGACATTTTCCTTCCCAAAGTAGCGTCTGATGTCGTCTTTCTTGTTTTCTGAAGTCTTTTGTTTTTTGGGAGCCATTTTGATGGGCTGTGACAACGACAAAGACAGAACTGTTAAAAACAACCTGAATTAGGAAAAGAGACTCCCCATTTTTAACAGAATTTGCAACATACATGAAAAAGCAAAACAGTATTTAACGTCATAAACAAGTATAGAAAATGACTTGCATCACACGAGAAGTCAAGTTTCCCTGCTGAGCTAAAGGTTACACAACAATACTGTGAATATTGCAGACTCTGAAAATTGCAGGAGCAGGGATTACGTGACTGGCTTGCATACAGTTCAATGAATCATCTATTAAGCTAGCTTTAGCCTGGCAGCCTGCCAGCCTTATAATATACATGCCCCTGATATTATTAAAGTAGGATTCCATTTAATAACAAACCAGGCATAGAAAATTTTAACAAAGCTACATTTGATCATGGAGCATGTCTTAGTCAGTATTCAGACAATTTCTTATTAAATAGAAGAACTAACTCTTGGGTACGATGGAGTATTAGGGCTATTGAAGGTTTGGGGGAGATAAATAATTGGCAATACTTTTTTTTTTACAATGTATGTAAAAAATGTAAAGTGCTAACAATATTAAACAAAGGCAATTTCCACTTTATTCTTTCCCATGTACACCACCTTCAGTGTTATCCATCTTAAAATGCTGCAAAAAGATTAAAAATACAGCAAATAAAACAATTTGTCAAAATATATGAACTTGATTAAATCTAAATTTGCAGAGATTTGAAAATAATCTGGATTTATACATAAAGGGCAAATTTATTCTTTTTTAATGTACAAATAAAATTAAAGTGGTCTTTTGAAAACTGTATTAGTCGAGGGAAAAAAAACATGCTGGAAAGCTCTGATGGAGACTGTGTGACTCAACAGCTCACATGATGATGTTTTTGAGTCATACTGGGACG